TTCGTTAGTTACCAAAGCTCTGGCAAATGATGCCACAAAAACATATTGGAGCTGCACTCCTCTTCATTTCGTCTCCACTACAGCACTAGTTTCTCATATTAAATAAAACGTTAATAAGACAAAAGTTACAGGCATTTGTTTTCTTTCCTCTTCTCCATTGCGGAGAAACATACAGAAATGCGCAGGGCGAAATAATACCACTTTCCTGTCCTATGAGACAGTCAGATGGAACAACAGATATGTGTAAATATATATACAAGATGTTATTTTGGATTATCTCCCCAAAGCAGGACTTCAGAGTAGCAGGACTCACAGTAGCAATGGCAAATGCATCCTAATCTCCAAGATGAAAAGACCCAATGTTCAATCTTTACTAACTTCTACGCCCCCTCAGTTATGGATGAAAGAGCAAGAATCGAATCACAGGCCACGCTGACAGAATCCAAAGCAAAATGCATGAGGCATCCCTGAAGAGGTTATTTGGGAGGAGATACGGTACTTCTGTACTCTTCACACACTTGCTGTATATAGGCACATTCCTATTTCCCCCCATAGGAATGCAAAAAGAGGCTGCTGGATGAGGCCAAGGCCCATCTAGTCCAGCATCCTGTCCTCACACTCACCGACCTGATGCTTGTGGGAAACCAGCAATCAGGATTCGAACACAAGAGCACTCTGCGCTCCTGTGGTTTCCAGCAACTGATACTCAGAAGCATTGCTTCCTCTCCTTTTTGGCCAAATTACATCACAAAAATTAGGGTGAGCATTAGATTTGATGGCACATTTACATTCGCCAGCAAATACTTTTTTGGTTTCAAGATTTTGAAAATTGAGGTGCACATTAGATTCAATGGCGCATTAGATTCGCATAAATATGGTAATAACAACAACAACAACAACAACAACAAGAATTGCTAGTTCTTATATACCACTTTTTGTCGCAAGTGGCTTCGGAGCCGTTTATATAAAAAGAGACAAATCGTGTCACTACAAACCACAGAACACAAGAGTAAAATATCAGCAGTATCAATGATAAAATGAAACTCGTACTATAAAACGAAACATACTGCAGGCTCAAAGAAACAGTCTAACCACAGTTAAATGGACCACATCTAGTACAACATCCTTTTCTCATGCTGGGCAACACGATGCCTATGGGAATCTGCAAAACCTGAGTACTCTACCCACTTGTAATTCAGGTGCATACTGCCTCTGACAGTGGAGCGAGAACATAATATTCAGAGTTGAGAGTCATTGACAGCCGTATCATCCATGACCGATCAAAACCTTCCGCAAGCAGAGAAACTGGGAGGATAATTTCACCAAATATATCCAACAAGAGAATAAGATATCCCACATTTTGGGGGGGATGGGGTCCACCATGGGCAGCGACACAGTTTCCCTTTCCCCCATCCTCCAAGGTTGTCCTTTGCCTTGGTTGCCACAGCCAGTGGCAGCGTCCACTGCGTTGGCAACCTGGCCGCCATTTTGTAAGGCCCTCCCTCCCAGTGTAAATCGGCTGAGTAAGTGTGCCAGTTGTCTCCCCAAATGGTAGAGACTATTCGGAGAAAATCCCAAGAAGGACAAGAAACAGAACTCTCTCAAATCCACTCAGAAAACTGCATTCCAAGAAAAGTTCACCACAGCTCTAGGAAAAAACACAAGACACATTGGCAATTCTTGTAAATTCCCAGCATCGCTCTGAATACACTTTATTTCACAGAAGGACAGGATGGTGAACTACTTCCTGGGCATTTTGCCATCGCCTTCAAGGGATGGAGATGGATTGTACCCGGCATCGTGCCAGACTACTCAATTAATTTCAAGAAGATGTCTTCTAGAACACCTTGCAAACTCTTCTGGATAATATAAATGTTCAGATTACTCTAGCTGCGATCATGACAGTAGCCAAGGTTCAGTTAAGGGAAGTGGTGTTCTCTTATTCAGCCCAAACGAAACAGCATCACTGCTAGTGTGCGAAAAGGGAGCGACAAGGATGTCGACAAGGGTGATTCTGCCTCTGAGGTAACTGTCAGCTTTTTTTAAGGTGTGGATTTTTAACATCTTATTTTGCACTGGATTATGAGTGTGAATTTTGACTTTTTCAACCAGACACTCAAAAGCAAAAAGTACACGTCCTTCAATGGCAAAGAAAAATGATACAAATGATCTTCAGAGCAGTGCCGGTAAAAGTCTACTAAAGACTTGTGAAAAGATGCAATACATATGCAAGGAAAAAATCTGAATGGAAAGAGGCAATGAAGGACCACCTTATAACACAGTACAAAATCTTTAAATTACACTTGGGGGGGGGGACTACCCGGGACGGGGTGAGCTCCCGTTGCTCGGTCCCTGCTCCTGCCAACCTAGCAGTTCGAAAGCACGTCAAAGTGCAAGTAGATAAATAGGTACCGCTCCGGCAGGAAGATAAACGGCATTTCCGTGCGCTGCTCTGGTTCGCCAGAAGTGGCTTAGTCATGCTGGCCCGGAAGCTGTACGCCGGCTCCCTCGGCCAATAAAGCGAGATGAGCGCCGCAACCCCCGAGACGGTCATGACTGGACCTAATGGTCAGGGGTCCCTTTACCTTTACCTTTACCATTAGATGTAGACAAACTAGGATTTTATGGCTACATTTCTTCTTTCTTGGGCAAAACTAGTCTTGGAAAAGATTACTGTTCTGTTAATTTTAACAGGTCTACTCTGAGTAAAACTTGGTTTACTATCAACCCATGATCATACTTACACACCACTTAAATTAAGAAAGTTCCATTTTTTAAGTCACATTTTTTTAAGGACAAGAACCAGTGTTCTACTAATGTGGAATAAACCCTGTCCTTCTCCTGAGCTTGGAGAAGAGGCGGGAATCTCTTAAGACACCAGAAAGATCTGAAATGCTGTTTTTCCAGCCTCTCTAAGGCTTGGCACAATAGGGAGGAGTCCTTCCTTCTGCACAGTTGCATTGGAGCACCTTCGCTGTGTTGTTGCCCAGTCAAGAACCCTTGCCCCTCCACTTCAGTCAGAAGCCAAGGTTGGTAGCAAGCTCATATCTGAGCTAGCTGCCAAGCCCAGACAAAATTTATGAGTCATTTAGGGGTGCAGGGGCAAGGACATGCTTCAGACAACCCATCACTGGTATTTGCAAACCCATTCCAGGCCACCATCCAATGATTTGGAAATTCGGGGGGCGGGGGGAGGTGATAAAAATTGTTCAGTGGGGAAACCCAGTTGAGTAGCATCCACAAGTCCTCTAGAGGCTAGACCAGCATTCTTCAACTTCGGGTTCCCAGCAGTGGTTGGACCACATCTCCCAGCATCCCCAGCCAGCCTAGCCAATGGTCAGGGTTGATGGGAGTTGTGGTCCAAAACAGTCTGGGGCCCCAAGGTTGAAGATCTCAACCAGAGAAACCCTATACAGTGGAACCTCGGGTTGCAAATGTGATCTGTGCGGGAGGCACATTCACTACCCGCAGCATTCGCAACCCGCAGCACCACGTCTGCGCACATGCGTGACGTGATTTGGCACTTCTGTGCATGCGCAAAGTGCGATTTTAGCGCTTCTGCGCATGCGCGAGAGCCAAAACCCGGAAGGAACCCATTCCGGTACTTCCGGGTTTGGAGCAGTCCATAACCCAAAAACGTGCAACCCACAGCGTTCGCAACCCTAGGTGTGACTGTACTCAATACCAACCTATGAGTCCACATATCTGAACCTTTTATACACAGTCACCTTGCCTCTACTTCCCCCCAGTCTCACAGCTGCTTCCTTCCTGGGGCAGAATCCAGCCAGCCTCTCCTGGAGCTTCATGTCCTCTAATTTTCCAATGTTGGTTATAGTGCTGAATATATATTAGGTGCTTCATTTCCTTCTTCATTCCTCTTCCTCCCTAACCTCCCTCCAAACTCACATGCAGTGTGACCATGTGATATTTCCAATTCTTATCTGGCAAAACTTTTTTTAAAAAAAACTCAGATAATTCCTTGACCCATTTGGGCAAGCATGTATTCCTTTGCTCATTGTCTCAAAGCTTTGTTGGACATAAAGGCATTTGTGCATTTCCTAAAGCTACGATTAATAGTAAATAATAAATGCCCTGCTTTGCAAATGGATTTTGCATCTCAAGGCATCCACGTCGTTTTCATTCGCACTTACCTTGTTCCCAATGGCCTTTTTCGGGGGAAAGTTAAAACTTTTCACTTGGTGGTATTTTGCCTGCAACTTGTGATGAAGGACTCTGAACTCCGTGTATCTTCGATAGACATTCCACTCATCGTCTTTTATCCTTATATATACCTGTCGGAAGTAGATTGTGAAATAAATCCATTTTAAATCGAAGGTATAGCCATGCAGAATGTCAGAAGAGCCCTGATGGGTCAGACTAGAAGTCCATCGGACCCAGGACCCTGTTTTCCCACATTGGCTTTTGGGAAGAGGCAAGAGCAAAAGTCCTCTTCCTACATTTGCTCAAAGGGACGTAGGTGGCGCTGTGGGTTAAACCACAGAGCCTAGGGCTTGCTGATCAGAAGGTCAGTGGTTCGAATCCCCAACGGAGTGAGCTCCCGTTGCTCGGTCCCTGCTCCTGCCAACCTAGCAGTTCGAAAGCACGAAGTGCAAGTAGATAAATAGGTACTGCTCCGGCGGGAAGGTAAATGGCGTTTCCGTGTGCTGCTCTGGTTCGCCAGAAGTGGCTTAGTCATGCTGGCCACATGACCCGGAAGCTGTACGCCGGCTCCCTCGGCCAATAAAGCGAGATGAGCGCCGCAACCCCACTGTTAGGTGCGACTGGACCTAACAGTCAGGGGTCCCTTTACCTTTACCTTTGCTCCCTGTCAGCTGTCACTCATGAGACACTCTGCCTCCAAACCTGAACATAAGTTACTGCCAACAATGAAAGCAAGTACAGCACTTCTAGCAACAACACATCGTCATAAGATGCTCTTAGAATCATATAACTGTAGAGTTGGAAGGGACCACAGGGTCATCCACTCCACCCCCCTGCAATGCATGGATGTGGGGCTTGAACCCACAACCCTGAGATTAAGCGTCTCGTGCTCTACCAGCTGAGCTATCCCAGCAGGATACTTGAGTATATTACTGTTAGAAAGCGAGCCTGCTGCGTCAGGCTAAAGGTCAATCTAGTTCAGCATCCTGTTCTATCTAGTCCAGCATCCTGTTCTTCCAGTGGCTAACTGATGCCTCTGGGCAGCAGTGGAGGAAGCTGCTCGGGCGCCTGAGGCGGGGCACCCAGGGGTGGGGCGAGTCACCCATAGGGGCGGGCACACCATGGGGCCTCCAGAGTCTGCCTGCCTCCTCCCACTCAGCCGCCCTACAGCTGGGGGGGGGGGAGGCAGCAGGTGGACCATTTGGACAGCGTGGCGCCTGTGTGCACCCAATTCACCACGTCTCTCCCAGGAGAGATGCGTGGCTCGGGTGCGCCCCTCAGTGGTGACACCCGGGGCACCCCGCACCCACTGCACCCCCCTTCCTCTGCCCTTGCCTCTGGGGAGCTTGAAAGCAGGAACTGAGCACAATGTGCAAATGTGCCTTCTGAATTTGTAACTCATGACTGATTCTTTCCCCCTTTACCCATGCCTCCAGTTCCCTTCCTGTCACTTCCCACATGTCATATATGAGACTGTATGCTCCTTGGGGCATAAACCTTCCTCTTGTACTATGCAAAGCACCATATATACCAATGACACAATCATCATAGGATTCCTCAACAGACCTCTCAAATGGACTAGAGAAGCAACTTTGCACACAACCTAGGAGAGGAGGGGGAGTTGTCACAGAGCCAAGAGCAATGAGTCATATTGTTATTATTTATTATATTATTTATTATTTATTATTTATTAAATTGGTATACTGCCCTATACCCGTAGAACTCAGGGTGGTTCACAACATAAAATCACAACAACAACAGAAAATAAATAATCATAAAAAACCGATAATCCTCCCTGTACCAGTCGACTTCCATCTCGGTCCCATTCCAACAGTGGGACCATCACTCAATGCTAGGGCACTGGCTTTGAACTAGAGGCACCCAGTAGAAGTCAGCTTTCTATGCAGAACTTACTATGGGATTTCCTTCTCTGGTTTATTATTTTGTGCTTCTGAAGGCAGCTTCCTACATGTATACAGATGGCGAATCCACATAGCTATTCGGCAGGTGCTCATTTATGAATACAGGCTCTTGCTGCTCAGGCTACAGCCTCTTATGAGCTTCCTTAATAACTTTGATTCAGCTTCATTAACTCCCCGGAAGCCATGCAAACTCCTTGTTTACCTTGCTGTTTGGCCATTGGTAACGAAAAACAAAACAAACCCTCCAGTAAGATATTCATTTAAGGATCCTTGTTGTGATTTCAGAATTTATTACTTTTCCCCCCTAAATACCCTACGAGAAACAGCAGAATGAAGCATCTTAGCACGGCCTACTTTACTACTGATCCATTAAGGCATTATTTTCAAATTGACTCTCAGGAGGGTTCATCTGCCTTCCCTTCCAGCCAAATCATTCCTACTTTCAATGTGAGCAGCCATGGAGGCTTCTCTGGCGATGAAAGTGACAAAGCACAGGATACAAGGAAGCTCCGGGGAACAAATCCCTGATATTCTGAAGGTAATTCAATGTATTGGGTCAAGTGCTTCTCAACCGCAGGAAGCAATCAATCAACTGCAGCTAGTAGTTGATGGGACTCGAGTACATCAGCAGGAGAGGAGGTTTACAAGTGGGAACCTGTAAGAAAATGTTGCAGCACAGTTCCAGCACTGCTCCTGTTTGGGCCAACGGGGGAGAGCTATGTAGGGGATGTTTAGAGTGGGAGGAGGGAAGAATCAGAGACGAAGGAGAGAAAATGAAAGAACCCCCCCCCCGTCCGCACGCTTCTGAAATCTACAGTGGTACCTTGGTTCTGAAACATTCAAACACCAAGGCACGGCTTCTGATTGGCGCAGGCGCCTCGGAAACAATAGTCGACAGCCACATCGGATGTTCAGCTTCTGATAAACATTCGAAAACTGGAACACTTACTTCCAGGTTTTCAGCGTTCAAATTGTTTGAGTACCAAGGCGTTCAAGAACCAAAGTTCCACTATACAGTGGTGCCCCGCAAGACGAATGCCTCGCAAGACGAAAAACTCGCTAGACGAAAGGGTTTTTCGTTTTTGCGTTGCTTCGCTAGACGAATTTCCCTATGGGCTTGCTTCGCAAGACGAAAACGTCTTGCGCTTTTTTTTTAAAGCCGCTTGAAGAGGCGCAGTTGCGACGGACCGTGCTTCGCAAGACGAAAAACATCGCAAGACGAAAAGACTCGCGGAACGAATTATTTTCGTCTTGCGAGGCACCACTGTACTTCGGTGTGCTAAGTAATAAATACATGACTCCTGTTTGAAGCTGGTTGCATGGATACTATAACCTGTTAGCTGCTCAAGCTCAAGCTCAATTCCTTCCCTCTTCTTCATTGTCCTCTTTTCAGCTGATAACTTCAGCAAGTCCTTTCATTTTGCTAGATGTCATGGACTGGCTGGAGGCAGAGGAGTGCTGGGAGGCACCAGCTGGGGAACTCCCCAGGGGAAGAGCCAGGGGATTGGTGGTGGAATGAAGATGAGAGGTCAGAGGAAGAGGAAGGAGAAGACTTGGGGGGGGGGGAGGTGTGAGAAGCAGAAGAGGTAACAGGGTTTAGTGAGCAGGAAGAGGCTGTGGCAGAGAGCAGTTCAGACTCCAGGCTGAAGCAGAGGCTGGAGAGGAGAATGGTCAAGACTCAGGAGGCCCAGTTGAGACAGGCTGCTGAAGAATCCAGGGAGTCTCTCCCTCATGCTGCCACCAGCTCCCCTCCCCCCAATCTCCTAGAAAATGCAGAGAAATGAAGAGAGGACAGTTTGGTGGTGTGCAGATGCAGCCTGTGACTGCTGGGCAAAGACCTGGAGAGGAGGAGGCCTTAAGAGAGCAGTGGGAAGGCAGGGACATTCAGTCCTCGCATTGGCTTCATCGGGGGAAGACCTACCAGGAAGAGTTGCTGGGATCACTAAGCCTGCGCTGACTTGGTTTCTTTGAATAAAGAGTTAACTTCACAGACACTGTGTTTTTTATTGCTGACCTATGCTTGACTCCAGCTCCTGTCACTGAGCTTCTGGCTCCTTTAGACCCTTTTCTCTCCCTGCTCTTTCCTCGGGGCTAACTTCTGAGCCAAACCAGTGCAAGCCAGAGAAAGGCTGCTCATCTTCAGATGATGGCACCCAAAGTTACAGTATGAAAAGTTTTTATGAGACTGAAGCATGCCCTTACACTCTTTCAGGAATTGGCAGCATGGTGCCCATGGGCACACACATGCCCCAGGAGACTTTCCCTGGTGCCCACGGGATCCTCTCACACCACTGAAATTAGGCTTGAAAGAAGTATTTTGTAGTAACAAAACAAGTGTCGGCAGGTGCTGGATTGGGGTGTTTGTATATGTGCTATCCATGACAGTTGCTCCAGTTTGCAAATGTCCCCACGGGCACAAAAAGGTTAGTAACCTCTGTGTTCTTTGATAGAACAAATGCTCCGTCAGTGCAGGAAGAGCTCACACTGCTTTCTTTCTATGTGGTGCTAAAGAAGAATATGAAAGGGGCTGGAGAAATAATACAGTATTTCATGCCCACCACCCCTTTGGATAAATGCTTAACCCTTCAGTTAATCAAGCTGCATATTTATTAAAGCATTCCAGGTTTTGCTGATAGATTATCCTGCAATCCTAAACATTTTACTAGGAAATAAGCCCCAATGAATGCAGTGGGATTTATTTCTGAGTAACCATGTCGCAGTCAAATCACATAACATGCTAAACCATGGTTTGCGCCAACTGTAGTTCAGAACCTAAACCACACTTTGACCTTCCAAAGATGAGCACCACCATAGGAGGCAATAATTGATGCAAGGTCTGGGGGAACATAAAGGTTTTAGCCTGGCACCTAAAAACTGACAGAGGTGGCGCCATGCACATCTCCCTAAGAAGAACATTCCACTTGAAAAGGCCTGTTCTCAAGTGGCTATCCTCCATACCCCCCACAGGTGGGGACACAGAGAAAGGCGTCTGATGAAGACCACAAGGTCCAGGGTGGTTCATAAAGGGAGAGCATTCATATTCTAAAAAATGAGATTCGGCGACATGTGATGACTCACAATCTAGTTTTAAGAAAATTAAATAACCAATTGAACCAAACTATGGTTAAGCTTCCTTATCTACAGTTTGGCACAATGCTGGAATTGAGCTATATACTGATGGGAAAGTTCTGGAGACACAAAAATTAGAGACGGGGTCAATCAAATAAGAAATATTATAATTTGCTTCAAATTGCTGGTGATTTGTTTTTCCAGAGGGAATGCAGGTGTTCTGAAAATGATCATTTCAAGATATTACAAACACACCCAAACTTCTAGCTGACAGCTTAAATTTCCAATTCCTGAAATGCAGCTGTGACTATAAATTCTGTGCCATTTATTTTGTAGCAAAATATAAGGCTGAATCTCTTCTGCACATCAAAATTCCTTTTCTCCTTTGAAATTAAGGGTTGGTGGTGGGGTGCTGTGTTGTGCATTATTGAAGGTTATGCAGTTTAACTGGAAGATTATAAACTTCCTGGTGCGTGTGGGTGTTGTGCTGTCACCGGCATCCATCTGTCTTGGGAGACAATGGAAGAGTAAAGTCATACCACTGGAGAGTTACAGTGCATGTGGGTGAGTGGGTAACATCTAGAACATCTGATAATACTGAACCCCGCCACACCACAGTTTTGAAAGCTCTTGAACTCTAACTAAGCCACTAATATGTATGGCCCCCTTTCCCCAGTCAGCAGTCACATGCTGTAAGAATGCCCTCGGGGAGAACTCCAATATGGCAGGATTGCAAGTCCTTAAAACTGCAAGCAAACCCAGAGGACGACACCCCAACTGGAAAGATGTCAGTGGCAAGGCAAATAAAATGCATTCATAACTTAATAAGCAGGGGAAATCAGCCCTGAGAGCTCACTGGAAGGACAGATCCTGAAGCTGAGGCTCCAATACTCTGGCCACCTCATGAGAAGAGAAGAGTCCC